TGTATTTATTTTAATATTAGGAAAAACTGACACATCAAACTAGTAATGTCACAGATAGTACTTAGAATGAAACAATCTCAAATGTCAGTTTAAAGAAAAATTAATAATCAAATGACATTGGCATGTACTCACTAACATGGCAGCAGTAAGACTGTGCTACTTGAATGGTTACGGCCCTAAAAAACAATGAACGGAGAAGGGCAAATGGAAGCTCAAGAACCACTCGATCTGTAAGTGATGGCCAAAGGAGAAAAGGGGGAAAAAAAAAACCTTTCTTAAAATGATTTATTTTCTATTTTTAAAATATGTGTTTTCTGTCCCGGTATGGCGCAGTGGACTGAGTGCCCACCTGCAAACTGAAAGGCCACTGGTTCAATTCGCAGGCAGGGCACACGCCTGGGTTGCAGGCCAGGTCCCCAGTTGGGGGTGTGCGAAAGGCTACTAATCGATGCACCTCGCACATGTCGAAGTTTCTCTCCCTCTCTTTCTCTCTCCCTTCCCTTCTCTCTAAAAATAAATAAAATCTTTAATTTAAAAAAATCATCCATATTTTTAAAAATAAGTGTTTTCTTTCTGTTACCAGACTATGGTTTCAGACATTCTGACCATAGTACAGACTTAAATTTACTGTGTACTTACACTTTCTCTACAAAGAGAACCAAAAAGTAGGCTTTTCTAAAGCATCTGAATATCAAGTCAAAGTTCTTCAGAACAGGTCTCCCAGGACTTGCCTTTCACTAAACGGGGAGCAAAAAGATAATTAGCCTGAGCTATTAGATTCAAGTGCAGAGGAACCAAAAGCAGGTTATGTGGTTATAGACGCAAGAGGCTCAAACAGAAAGAAATTGGCTGAGCTTATATTCCAACCACACCCAGAGACTATGCAATCCAAGTTCTCCTCAGCCCGTATGAGTGGGAAATGCTCCTGAGTGGTCAGATTATAAACCTTAGGTGGGATGTCATGGACTGAATGATGACAGACTAACTGGCTATCTCAACACCATAAAAATGCAACCACTGTGAGGGAAAAAAATAACCCACAGGCAGGCAAATTTACAGGGTGTTTTGACATGAAACTGCAAGAGAAACCAAAAAAAACATAAGGGTTCTTTGGCATAGACTTCTACTCTTTTATTCTATCCAATATGGTAGCTACCAAGTTTTAAATTTGAAAGTTAAATTGAAATAGCCATAGAAATGCAACATTTTCATCACTGCAGAAAGACACTACACCACTCTAAATCCTACATAAAAACCATGAACAAGGTCACATGCCCTGTTTCCAGTCCTTAATGTCTAAATGCATTAATAGTGCTCAAGGTCACATACACCAAACCAAGTTCTACTGCTGATTTCAGGGTCATTAACAGATTTTGCTCTTTATTTTTCCCACAGCTTTCCAATCATTAAAAGAGAAAGAAGAAGAACAAACACCCTGCTTTTAAGTGATGCAACATGTATGTCTCAGAGTTTCACTATATAAAGAGTAATCTCTCTCCTCTTGGGGACTGCAGGACCCACATGTCCCAAATAATAGACTATTAAAAACAATTACAGTTCATAAAACAATAAGAACACTATGACCCCTGGAGAGCTTAGTTCAGAAGCACATAAACACTATTCTTACTTTATCACCAAAACCTCAGCTAACAAACATGAAGACTGTCTCTCTGCAGAGAATACTTTTACAAATACTTTTAAAAGACAAGTTATGATAATCTGTTACAAATTCCTGCTTTGAAGGAATGATACATGGAGAAATCAAAACCCTCAATTCGATGACAACCTAATTTCTTCTTGCTGGCTTCCCTCTAAGAAAGGATGACAGAAACCTCCTTCGATTTCACTCATTCTTAGGCCTCTTCTGCTTACTCATTGGATCATTTCCAAAGGAGGCAGCAGAAGGATCCAAACTCCTAACTGGAGTTTACCCCAAACTTATAAACTCCGAGCCAAAGCAAAAGCATGATTTCCACACTGCTCTGCAAACCCAGCGTAACTGTAACTCAAAGTTTCTCAACAGCAGCACCACTGACGTTTGGGACCAGATAATGCTGCACTGCGGAGGCCCTCCTGTGCATCACAGGGTATTTACCAGCCTCCCTGGCCTCTGCGCCACTAGATGTCAGTAATGGCCCTCCTCTTCCTCCCCAGCTGGGAGTTGTGACAACTACAAAGCCTCCTGGGGGAGTCAAAATCGCTCCTGGTTGAGAACTACTGCTTTAACCTAAGGAACATTCTTCATTATCTCAACCCTAATTCCTCATGATCACCGGATGCTCCTCCACATCTCTGGGGTGAGACTTTGTCCCACAATTCAGCAAGTATTTACAGAACCTCTAACAGGGGTGTCCAACTTTTTGGCGTCACTGGGCCACACTGGAAGAAGGGTTGTCTTGGGCCACACATTAAATACACAAACACTATATGAAAACTGATCAGCAAAAAAAAAAAAAAGGTCTGTGCATAATTTACAATTTTGTGTTGGACTGCATTCATAGCCATTCTGGGCCACATGCAATGCAGCCCGTGGGCAGCAGGTTGGAGACCCCGGCCTAGGACAAAACACTAAAGGCTCTAGGAGATACACAAGCCAGATTCTGTCCCTCAAACAAGATTCTGGGGGGTGGCAGGGGATAAGTACATCAAAAGCTGTAATAAAAAACACCCAATTATATCATGTTCTGAAGTGCTGGTTTCTGTTCCTCACCAAACTAAAAATACCCAGAGGGCAAAGACCATACCCTGGATTACTAATACTTGATTAATGGCCAATAAAAATAAAAATAAGCTACTGTAAGCTTCACCATAACACGGTGACAATTTCATAGGGACAGTATAAACTCCACAGCCAACTTGGGCAGTAAGTTAACCTCCCTTGGCTGCAAAATGGAGAGAAAAATGACAGGAAGTCAGATAATACAAGCCAATCTTTTCCCACTGCTTTTTCTGGCACAGAGCAAGCAATGTAAGCTATCATTGTTATTATTTTATTAGCTGTTTTATTAGCAACAAATCCTACCTCAAGGAGAAGATCCTGCTCCAGGACACAATAACAAATCTCTACAGGAAATACAATGAAATCAACACTCACCCTGCTTTCTGAGGGCAAGAGGAGAAAGTAACCTAAGTATTTCTAGCAATGTCCTAGGAAGACCAAGTGCATGCAGAACCAGTTGGAGGTGTAGGGGGTCCTCCAGAGACAAACCCATCACTCTCCGATATACACTGAATTATTTTTTAAATACATTTTACAGAGAGGAAAGGGGAGGGAGAGGGAGGAAGGGGGAAAGAGGGAGACACACAATGATATATTGTTTCATTTATTTATGCATTTATTAGTTGTTTCTTGTGTGTTCCCTGACCTGAGATCCAATCTTGGCATATCAGTAAGACACTCCAACCAACTTAGCTACCCAGCCAGGGCCCAGAACTTAAGACCTTTCCATTTCAAATGCTTGGGTGTGTTTGCCAGAACCACACAAAGATGTAAAGGGGAAGTAAAAACAATCCTTATTTCAAAAATATTGACCCATGTAAGGGACAGATGAGTATGAGACTTTCTGAGTATTCATTTGCTTAATCTTCGAGATACTTGGCTTCGATGTTCTATTATTATAAATACATGTCATCAATTTTGAATTTACTACAAGGCACAGAGTTCATAAGAAGGAAAAAAAAGACAACTGTTGCTACATGTTTCAAAGAGAAGATAAAGTGGGCTGGGGTGGGGGGGGCGGGCTGGGTGATTCAAAGACGTTGAGTGTTTGGCCCAAGCAGCGTTCGGAGACGGCAGATGTTTGGGATAGAAGTAAGCGACAGGAAAAGTCACCATGCTAGGGCATACACAGCTGGGAACGCTTAGCACAGCACACCGTGTTTAGACGAGCAAAAACAGACCTTATTCTCATAACAATGGACACCACCAGTTTGGCGTGCACCCTGGGCTAGGCAGACACCAAGTGCTTCATGCATAGTGGGTCATGTAACCCAGCAACAGTCAGGTACCCACAATTTACAGAGGAAGAAACCGAGACAGGTAAGTGACCCACCGAAGGTCACTTAGTAAACTGAAAATTCAGACTCCAACCCAGGTACCGTGGCACCACCTCTACCGCTATACTTGACGGTGTCTATTTTAATTTCAGACCTGGAAAATTAAGTTGCACTTGCTACTTGGTGAGACCAGTTCTCTCCCCCTATCCTTTTGTATTTCAAAAGAGCGTCCTTTTAGCTGCGACCTGTGTGGTGATCACACAGAGTCCCGAAGAGGTGAAACTGGGATAGACGGACCCTGTTGCCTCCGGACTCTGCAGTGATCCGCACGGAGGAACTTGAGCGGACACAAATGGAGGTAAGCGCCCTGAGCAAGAGGAGGAGGGTCCTGGAAAACGAGGGAAGTCGCTAAAGTTCCTATTTCAGCCCCTATTTCCTGGGCACTACGTTCATTCAAAAGACCCCCGAGCCAAATGTCCTTCTCATCTTTCCCACTCTGAGACGGAGAGGATGCAGGCCAGGCAGGGGCCTACGGGCAGGGAAGCTGGGGCCAAGTGGGATGGGGGCTGAGAGGCGGGCGGGAAGGCGGGAGCCGGGGACGGAGGTGGGCATCGGGGTGGGGGGCCAGAGGCGGGACGGCGAGGCCGGTGGGGTAGGGGTCGGCGGCCAAGGAGTGTTCGGCGGACGCGCGGAAGCCGAAGCGGCGCCCGGGGCGGAGCAGCTCTGTCGGTACCATCTGGGCCGATCAGAGAAAGGAAGCGGGGCAGGAACCAAGGCATTTCAAAACAGGAGGAGAAAAGAACCTCGAGCGCAGACCAGGGGCCGGGGTGTGGCGGGAACGGGGGTCGCGTCCCGGGGAAGCGGGGCCCCGGCTGGAGCGAAGACCGGAGTTCCGCGCGAAGGGCTGCCCAGGCGGGGCAGCGCGCGGCCGAGCCCGCAGCCGAGGCGCGGGGGGGCCCCCCGAGGCCGGGCGGCGCCCGCGCCGGCTCCCTGGCCTTGCGTACCTGAGACGGCCGCCTGGCTCCCCTTCGCTCCCGGGCCGTCCCCGACGCCGCCCGCCGGCTCTCGAGCCGCCGCCGGGCTCCAGAAGCCCGGCCCCTCAGCCGCCCGCGGGTCCGACATCTGCAGCGGAGCGGAGCGGAGCGGAGCGGAGAGCGCCCCCGCCGCCCGCCGCGAGCGGCTCCGGAAAGAGCCGAGGGCCGAGTGCGTGCCGGGAAGTGCCGAGCGGAGCCCGCGGGCCGGAAGGGGCAGTGCGCCGCCCCGAGCCGCCGCGGGAGCTCCGGCCGGCGGGCCCTGGCGACGCGGACGGGGGCAGGGTAACCGCGTGCTTTTGATCGCAGGTTTCTAAAGTCCCGGAGTGAGAGAACAAACAAAACCTGGGGGGAGAGGCAGGAAGACCTGGCCGGAAACCGTGGTATCCGCAGAGACGCTGTCGGAAGTTAGGGTTGCTAGGAGGCTCGGGCGCGTGGGCTAGTCGGCGTCATGGCTGAAGTCCCGGAGGACTACAATTCCGACCCCGAGGAAAATGAAGACCTGGGGTCCGAGAGACCGCAACTGCCTGGGCTTCTTAAAAGAACCGAAAATGCGGAACCAGACGTCAGGGCAGAGGCAGACCCGGAGCCACGTGAAGAGATGGACCAAGAGCCACAGCCAGGGACGGAGGAGGAGAACTTCAAAGACCTGGCGCCTGAGAGTACTAAGACTACAGACCCACACCAAAACCCAACCCTGACGCCCGAGGAAGAGATGCCCAAGGAGTCAGAGACGGATCGCTCTAGCGAGACTGAGACTGGGATCCCCGAAGAGGTAATGCTGGAGACATCCCGAGGGATGGTAGAGGAGTTTTTCAAGGATTTGGTGGACCGTATGGATGAAAAGCAGGAGGAGCCAGACCCAGAGCCACCGGAGGAGGCCACGCCAGATGTTACAGAGGATGTATTCATAGAGTCAGCAAAGGAAATAGATCTAGAGCTACCAAAGGAAACTGAGTCTGAGGTTCCATGGGCCACAGTCAGTGAGACAGGGTTAGAGTTAGTAGAGGAAACCAAACCAGGGGTTACAGAGGAAATACAGACAGAACAAAATGAAGAGTCAAGTCTGGAACCTCCAGAGGAGACCCAACCTGAATTTCCAAGTGAGAAACCAAGAAAATCGATTGAAGAGGCAGTTCTGCAGCCACAAAAGGCGACCACATCAGAGTTTCCAGAGCAGACACAAACAGAGTCACCTGAGGAGGAAAGGACAGAGCCATCTGAGCAGACCATACTAGAGTTTACAGAAGAGAAAGCAAGAAAGTCGACTCAGGAGGCAGGTCTAGAGTCTCCAGAAGATACTAAGTCAGGGGTTTCAGAGGAGACAGGAAGAAAACCAACTGAGGAAGAAGGGACTGAGCAGATTGAACAGGAGTTTCCAGACCAGATACCTAGTGACTATACTGAGGAGACGCGAACAAAGTCAACTGAAGGAAAAGTGCCCGAGCTACCAGAAGAGATCAAATCAGAGTTTCCTGAGGAAAACTCAGAAAAACCAATTGAAGAAATGGGTCTAGAGTTATTAGGAGAGATCAAATCAGAAATTCAAGAGGAGATACAAAGAAAGTCAACTGTGGAGAAAGTTCTAGAACCACGAGAAGATACTGAACCAACAGTTCAAAAAGATACGCAGAGAGAATCAGCTAAGGAGACAGGACTAGCACCACTACAGGAGTCCAAATCAGAGGACACACTAAGACAGTCAACTGAAGAGAAAGATCTGGAACCACCAGAACAGACTGTACCAGAGTTTGCAGAGGAAGAACCAAAGACACAGAGTAAATCAACTGAGGACACAGGTCAGGTGCTACCACAGAAGACCAAACCAGAAGTTCAAGAGAAGACACCAACACAGCCAACTGAGGATAAAGATTTAGGGTTACCAGATAAAGCCAAATCACTACATAGACAAGAGACATATAAAGAATTTGCCAAGGAAGATAGGTCAAAACCCATCAAATTTAAGTATTTCTTAGAGAAAGATGAGCTAGAGGATTCTGACAATGAAGAAACATCATTAGTAAAAGAAACTAAAAGAGTTATGAAAGACTCTATGTTAGAGTCTCTAGAGGTAAGAGACATAATCTCAGTAAATACAGATTATACGTTTTCAAAAGAATCCCCGGAACTGTATGAGCTTACTGATACCAGTAATGACTTACATCCCTCAGAGTCTCAGAGGGATTTAAGAGAGTCCCTAGAGTTGAAGAAACTGGTACATGAAGATCAAGGAACCCAGTCAAAAGAAAGGATTGAGCTACAATTTGAGTGTCTTAAATGGAGCCCAGAAAAAGTTGCAGAGTGGATTAGCGAGTTAGGCTTCCCTCAATACAAGGTATACAAAAATAATTTTTTTGAAATTATACTCTCATTCTTCTGCTTATTTTTCTAGCACTTACTTGAGTTCTTCCCTCTTTCTTACTAGGAGTATAGAAAAGTCCTGAACTATGGTAGAAGTAACTTGGATTTTAATTTTGGCCTTTCCATTGATGGATATTTTTGTTTGGGGAGAGGAGAGTCACATTTGTATGTTTTTCTTATTCATCGCAGTGATTTTACTTCGCTGCAATCCTTGAATAAAGACTAAGGAATTTAGATAGACCTCTTTTCATGGAAAACTGTATTTTTCCCCTGAAAACTATTTTTTTAATAACTTTCATCCAAGGTAGACTTTTTGATACTTTGTGAAGTTGTTTTAGCTCCCTAACTTGAAGGTGTACTATTAATCTTAAGTGTCCCAAATATGTCATATGTATCATGAGCACCTAATAATACTAATTTAAATATCCAATTAACCAAAAATAGTGTTATTAAAAAGACAAAGTGAAAAGTAAATCCTTTTATTTCATTGATGACAATTATGTTATTAGGCTACTACAAAAAAACAAGATCTAATATTTTTTGTAACCCCATACTTAAAATGTAGTTGCAGCATGAAAACTGATTGTATCATGCAAAAAAATTTTAGCAAAAGCTTAGATGGAAAATATGTGTGATTATTAGGATTAGTACTAAATTTAAACTTAATTTAAATTTAAAATTTGCTCAGTATAGAACAGGAGGAAAACATGATTTATTCCCTCCCTCCCTTCCCTACCCTCCTTCTCTCCTCCCTCCCTCCTTCCTGCCCCCTTCCTCTCTCCCTTCCTTCCTCTTTCCCTTCTTTCCTTCCTTCCTTCCTTCCTTCCCTTCTTTTCCTTCCTTCCCTCCCTCCCTCCCTTCCACCATACATCTTTTGAATGATGTCCTCATTGTACTAATAGGAGTGTTTTACCACAAACTTCATCAGTGGCCGAAAACTCATCCATGTAAACTGCTCAAACCTCCCTCAGATGGGGATAACAGATTTTGAGGACATGAAGGTGAGTTGTGTATCAAGTTTCCCCATAGACCACTGTAACAATGCTCCTGGGTTCAAACAAATCTCCTTTTCTTCCTCCCTGGCCTCCAATTTTTGTCAATAGTGTTACTGGACTCCCAGCCCCCAGCCTCACAGTGGTTTCTTCCTCTCTCCTTCTGTCTCCTTTGATCCCCACAAAGATCCCATGAACTGTCAGTTCCTCTTATAGCATATGGTTTTCTCCACTCCCACTTGTTCAGACTGTTATTGCCTTACACTTAGAACATTCCAGCAACCTTCTACTTGTAGACCCTGTGGGCCCTCTGGATTCAAGAGTGCTTCTTTTAAACGCTCACCTTCCAACCATATGTATGCTACTCAGAAACCTTTTGGATCCCCTCTGCCTACATGATAGGCTCAACCCCTTAGTTTAGGATTCAAGCCACTCCCCAGGTTTTCTCCAGCCACCATCCTCTTCCTGCCACTCTTCTACATGCATCTTCTGTTCTAGCCTCGCAGGTCTCACACGCTCCCAGACCTGTCTTTTGCATTCCTCTTTCTGCAGCTTGCCCCTTCTCTATGGCTAATATGAATCTTAATCATCCTTAAGACCCAGCTCAACTTTCTTCTCCCCAAGAAGTCTTTCCTGACCTTCCCAGGTCACAGTAACCTCCCCTTCCAAGATCTCATACATTCTATGTCTCTACCACCCATTGGCACTTAAGTAACACCATACGTATTTTGCCTGCTTTGGTACCTAACTTGAAAACAAGTTACATTAACCTCTTTGGACCTCAGTTTCCTAAGATTTCTCCAGCACCAACAGTCCATGACCATGTTTCTTTGCCTCATAATACTCTCCATTTACAGTGTTTAATGGTTTACAAAGCTTCATATACATAATCTTATTTATAACCTTTTCTTTAATACAGCTCCCCCTCATACCAGTGGTTTCATTCAGTACACGACTGACCATAAATGTTCTGCCTCAGTGGTTCTTAAACTTGGATAGTCTTCAAAATCAGATGAAATTTTCTTTTAAAGATTCCTAGGCTCCACAGTCCAGAGATGTTGATTCATTACATGTAGGGTAAACCCTGGAATTTGTCCCCCAAGTGACTCTTGATCAAACCTTAGAACCACATAATTCTATAAGTGATATGATTTAGAAAAGAAAATTATACTTGTTAATATCTAATCCCTTTCCCTTGCAACAAGAAATAAAAACATCCTTTAAATTATTAAACACATTAAGCTCTACATGAGCATTTAACCTCTTAAACTCTGCTAATAGCTGTCCTGATACCTCTGACTCCAGTCCAGTACCACAGGGTTCATTCCAGCCTTTCCATCCTTCTTACTCCCTGTCCGCCTTTGCTGCTCTGTAACTTCTTTCTCTGACAGCAAGCAGCCTGGCTCTCTTTACCTGTAAACATGTATACCTATGAGAAACACCTTTCCCAGAGTACAGTGTTTGTATATAGTCGTTTTGTCTTTAGCCTTACACTCCCTAGACCAGTGATTTTATCTTGGCATACATAAACTAATTACTAAAACTTTGCAGCATACCAAAAAGGTGTATTTTTTTTTGCCAAACTGACAAAAAAAAAATAGCCCTAACTGGTGTGGCTCAGTGGATTAAGCACCAGCCTGTGAAAAGGTCGCCAGTTTGATTCCCAGCCAGGACACACACCTGGGTTGCCCAGGGAAACTGATCCCCAGTTGGGGGCATGTGAAAGGCAACTGGTTGATATTTGTCTCCTTCTCTTTCTTCCTCCTTTCCCTTCTCTCTAAAAATAAATAAATAAATAGGTATAATTTTGATTCATTCACACCAAATGGCTATTATTGTGTTGACTGTTCTCATTTTTTTATTTGACAATCTAAGGGAAAAGAGGTCAGTGCCCCTGATTCAATAGTCATGTATTGCCTTTTTAAAAAGTTCTTGTAGCACACCAGTTGAAAATCACTGACCTAGACAAAGCACTGATTTTCAAAGCTAGCTCCTTTATTCCCTACCTCCTTATCAGGGGTTGCACAACATCCTAGCTCTTTAAAAACTTGCATAAAGCCACACTGCATGCAGTTCTGTGGGTTTTAACAAGTGCACAGGGTCAGGGATCCAAAACAATTCTATAACCCTAACATTTCCCCTGTGTCCCCTCTGTAGTCAGCCTATCCCTCCACCCCAATCCCGGCAACCACTAAATTGTTTTTTGTCCCTTTGGCTTTTTAAAAAAATATTTTATTTATTTATTTTTAGAGAGGGTAAGGAAAGGAGAGAGGGAGAGAAACATCAATGTGTGGTTGTGTCTCACATGCCCCCTACTGGGGACCTGGCCCACAGCCCAGGCATGTGCCCTGACTGGGAATCAAACCAGCAACCCTTTGGTTTGCAGGCCCTCGCTCAGTCCACTGAGCTACACCAGCCAGGGCTGTCCCTTTGGTTTTGACTTTTCTAGAATGTCACATAAATGGAGTCAAATAATATGTAGGCTTTGAGTTTGGCTTCTTTCCTTTAGCAAAATGCATTTAAGATTAATTCACATTGTTATATGAATCAACAAGCAGATTTTAAGGAAATTATACATCTACTTTAATAATGATGGTATAGATGATTTACATTTAAACCACAAGATTAGACCTTTAGGTTTAATTAAGGTAAGCAATAGGTTCCAGTTAAGCAAATGTGCCTTGCTCCTATAAGGTAACTAAGCCGTGTGTAATAAATTGATAATGATGCCCTGGCTGGTGTGGCTCAGTGGATTGAGTGCTGGCCTGTGAACCAAAGGGTCACCGGTTCGATTCCCAGGCAGGGCACATGCCTGGGTTGTGCGCCAGATCTCCAGTTGGGGACAGGCGAGAGGCAACTGGTCGATGTATCTCTCACACACCTATGTTTCTCTCCCTCTCTTTCTCCCTCCCTTCCTGTCTCTCTAAAAATAAATAAATAAAATCCAAAAAATAAACAAATAAAAATAAACAGGTAATGAAGCAAATCCATCTGTTTACAAATAAAAGCAAAGTTAGCAGCTTTTTAAAATCATGATCAGTGCACAGCACAACGATGACAGAGTACAAACAGAACCTCCCTGAGAGCCCTCAGTGCCGCAGACACCGCCTGAGCCCACGAGCCCACGGGGAGCAGGCGCTCGGAAGAGCTGCCGAGCGCTGAGGACGGGCCACTGTCCTGGGACGTGGAATTGAGTGTCCTCAGAACACTTTAATATTGATCTTCCTGAACACCTACTTCAACAATCCTTACTAACTCAGTTACTAAGTTAGCAACTCAGTTACTCAGTTACTAGTAAGTTGCTTTAAGTCTTAGGCAAAAATAAGGTCTGTTGCTTGTTATTCCTCAGAATTAAAGGACTCACAATTTTAGATAAATTTATAGCCCATCAGAGGACATTTATAGCCCTCATGGTCCATCAGTGAACCTCAGACATACCTTAAGGATCACTGAATTCGAGGGGGGGTGATTAGAGTATATTTCTTGATCCCACGTGTAACTGATTGCTTTATAACACTTCTAATTTCTGCATTAAAAATTTAACAGCACTGCACTCTCTGGGCCCACAGTAGACACATAGCTATTTTGGTTAATAGTGAGTATGTCTGTGACTACAAGGTTCCTCCTCGGGGCACCATCTGTAAACCTCAGTGAGTTAGTGAAATAACCTCTTCTGGTTAGGGACACTCAAAAGGAGAGTCAGGGTGCGACGCTGACCAAGCAAGGTGCTCAGTGTAGCAGCACCAGTTATCAATGAGGATTCTTAAGAGCCACCGGTAGTAACTTGGATCTCAACTCTTAGAAACCTCAATGGCTACACACCTCAATTAGTGTTTCCACTGGAAAGCAAGAAAACCATGTAGATGCTCTTTTCCCCACACACCATCTCTAGAGTCTAAACAAAACCAAGTAAGATTTGAGAAGAAAGGTGTCTTGCCTATCTAAAGTACATGGCTAATGGGAAGCTTTGTATCAGGTTTAGAATGGTCTGTGGCATGAATTTTACAGTCTTGTAACTATAGCCAGTAGTTTTAAACTAAAAAAAAAACCATTCCACATAGTCCTTTGGCTGTGTTCTAGCAGCAATTTCATGAACAGTCTCATCCAGACACAGGATATAAATTTAAATAGTAGTATTAATAACAGACCTATGATTAAAACTAAAATTTGAAAGCTCAGTGATACCTTAATCTAGAATATCAAGTGGCATAATGCTCAATGAATATAAATTATGTTTTAGAAATACTGAGAATTGTGGCAAAAGATACTTTAAAAGAATTACCTATATACAAGTATAGGTACTAATAAAACAGCTGGAACTTTAATGTCTGCTGTTTAGAATTTAAGATATATTTTTAGTGAAACAAATTGAATATTGCATAATAATTTTTTTACTTTAAAAAATGTTTTTTCTTTATTTTTTTATTTTAGAGAGAGGGGAAGGAAAGGGGAGAGAAAGGGAGAGAAACATCGATGGGAGAGAGAAACTGAATCAGTTGCCTCTCACATGTGCCCCAACCAGGGACCGAACCTGTAACCCATGCATGTGCCCTGACCAGGAATCGAACTGACAACCTTTCGGTTTCCAGAACAATGCCCAGCCAACTGAGCCACACTGGCCAGGGCCATTATAATTTTTTCTAGCTGCAGATTAATTGAGCTTCTTATAGACGTGTTATTTATTAACCTTTCCAGAGATAAGCATGCCTCCTAATCTGAGCATATTATTTGCTCAGATGGTTGGTCAGATTGCTCAGCCAAAGGAAAGAAATGAACCCACCCATAGCCGTCTTATGTAAGCGCCTAGAAACATCTGTAAAAGATTTGAAAAGATGAATTACGTTATGTTTCTCTTAAGAACTTTGTTTCGATAAGGCCAGGCTAGTAAGCCTTTCAAAATGTTACTTTATTAATGCATTTTCCCAAAGAGATAACTGAAGGGGTTAGCATGCAAGCGGCCTAGGAGAGTGAGTAAGACTGCTTTGATACAGTTGTGTCTTCAGGTCAGTCCCACTCAACAACCGTCTTTGTGTTTCAGGTCATTTCTCGGCACACGCGGGAGCTCCTGGGAATCCAAGAACCTTTGTTTAATCGCTCCATCAGTCTTCCCTACAGGGACAATATCGGCTTATTTTTAGAGCGGAAAGGGCACACTGGGGCAAAATCTGATTCCTTGACGTTATCAGAATTTGTGCAAACAGCAGGACTACAAGAGTATGAGCCGAGATAACTGCCCCTCACTTGAATGCGGCATTATATTCTGAGCCATAAGGAAAGGCCACTTCACTTAGACTGCAAGACCAAGCTAACTTCCTTGGGGGAAGAAGTGTGGTCTTACCGGGTTTTCTTTTTCTCCTCTTCCTTAGGAGTTGGAGGTAGAACTCTGGGCTCTATTCCTGGTTCTACAGCCAACTCCCAGTACCTTCCCTTTATTTGTATTTTCGTTTAGACTCACGTTAAAACAAAGATAGCAATATTTCTCTTCCTGGGTACCTGTAAGAATTCCCTGGTAAAATCTAGTAATGCATCTGGTAGCAGGAACATGTTGGGTCCCCTGCCGCCCCGACAGTCCTCTCCACAAATGCAGAAAAGGAAACAGCTTTATCAGTGAATCCACACTCGGTCAGACTGTGACGCCCGTCACAGGGGAGCTGCATCCCAGACGGCCCGGATGAGGCGACCCCACCCTCTCGCACAGCTGGGAGACGCAGCCCCACACACGAGGTTTACTGTCGCAGTCCAGGGCGGAGACTTCTCTGTCTCTGCCCCAGATGGGAAGTGGCTCCTCGGGGCCAGGCGCTCAGGCTGGGCTCCCATGGACTCGGGGAGACCCCGCGCCCTCCGCCTGGGTGCTCACATTTCAGAGACGTCTCCACAGCCCCCCCAGAAGTCAGTCCTGGGATATAAAAGTGGCAGAAGGCTTATCCAGCTTTTTAAAATATTGACATACATCTCAAAACGGGGGGGGGGGGGGGGATTTATATTATATGTTTTCTGAAAAAAAAATGTTAAGAAAAAGGAAGGGGAAAGCTCTCCCTTTTGTCGTCATAGAAATATTTTTTTTAAATATTTTTTTTAAATATAGTTGAGATTTGTATTTACCTTTACAAACAGCTTGTGAAAGTACCCTTAGAACTAGGGTCTGAGGTCGGTTCATAGGGCTCTCTTATGTGGGACCTGCCAGACCTTTATAAAATGAAATTCGGGCCAGAGTCGACCCATGACTGGACTGCTCAAAAGAAATTACAAAATGTTTCTTGTTGCTTGAATGACTCCAATTCCTCTCCAGTTTTATGGTCTTTTTCTTTCTACTCGTACTTCTTGATTCTAAACACCACTGCACAGCTGCCATCACCCAGAAGGGCAGTGACGCATCCTGCCCGGCTCCCTGCGCCTGAGTCAGTAGTCAGAGGGACACGTCGCTTTCTTTTCTCTCCTACCGAGAGAAGGAATGGTGCCTCAAATTAGCATTCATTCCAAGTGTTAATTTTTTTTAATCCTGAGGATATGTTTGTTTTATTTTTAGGCTGGTCATTTTGGGAGTGAACTGTCTCCCCCATCCTCTTCCAGTTTCTTTTTTTTTATTTATTTATTGATTTTGAGAAAGAGAAATATCAAATTGTATTAAAATGTTGTTCCACTTACTTATGCATTCATTGGTTGATTCTTCTATGTGCCCTGACCTGGAATTGAACCTGCAACCTTGGCATATCGGGACAGTGCTCTAACCAACTGAGCTACCCAGCCAGGGCCCTGGAGATATATTTTTACTGATGAAGGGGTAGAGAGGGAGGGAGAGGGGGAGGGAGGGAGGGAGAGTGAGCTGAGTGTTAATATTTGGTGATGAAACTAATTTTTTCCCAAATTGGACTAACAAAATTTTATCTCAATTCAATACCACTGAGTTTGCCTGACTCATAATTAAGCAAAAAAAAAAAAAAAGAAAAATGCATGTGATTAACCTGGGGCCATAGTAGTTTTCTTACACAGTGAATGGCTTTGTTCAAAAGCACGTAGCAGTTAGCACACGATGGTTCTGTTCAATGACAGCATGGTCAGTGTCACCTTTCTTAACTTGATGGCCACTGCTGTTGTTTTCTTCTGTATTACAGGTGACAAAGTATTTACAGAACATATATGGGGGGACCCCAAAAATGGAATCTGTCTATAAAAAATTGTGTATTTATTCTTACATGTGTAAACTTCAGTCACCTTCAAAGTACTCTCCATTTGATGCAATACACCTATTGAGACATTTTTTCCAGTGCTCAAAACAGTTTTTGAACGCGTCGATTTCGATACCTTTTAGTGCTTCTGCTGTTTTTGGTTTCACCTCTTCCACATCAGCCACACATTCCCCTTTGAGGACTTTTTTCATTCCAGGAAACAAAAAAAGTTGCTTAGATGAGATCAGATGAATAGGGAGGATGGGGCATGGGGTCATGCCACTTTTGATCAAAAGCTGCTGAACACTCAGTGCGGTGTGGGCAGGTGTGCTCATAAATCACCCATCATGAAATGGGCAAACACGTTGAACGTCTTCAAAAAAATTTACTGAAGCCAAACACAGCCGCTCACCACACCACCAGCTGGTCCACTGACACAGATGGGCTCCTAGAACACTCACCCAGCAGGGGGAAGCCTGTGCTACAAGGGACTGGCCCTCCAGAAGATAATCTTTGTTTTTTTGGGTCCCTCCTCCTAAAGGAAATAAATTAGCACTATAGAAATAAGATATATGTTTTTTAGAAATTACTGTTAGTCATTTAATATAAACCTATTTTTAAAAATGCTTGTATCGTTGCCCTGGCCAGGTGCCTCAGTTGGCTGGAACATTGCTCCATACACCAGCAAGGATGCGGTTTCCGTCCCTGGTCAGGGCACATGCCTGGGCTGCGGGTTCCATCCCCAGTCAGGGTGTGAACAGGAGGCAACCGATCGATGTCACTCTCCCTCTCTCCCCCCCTCTGCCCTTCCCTCCTTCCCTTTCTCCCTGTCTAAAATCAATGAAAACATGTCCTAGGGTGAAAATTTAAAAATAAAATAACAAATTTATAAAGTTAAACATTTGTTTGGTTAAAAATACTTTAAACGGAAACAGCTTTAGTGGTAGTATCAATATATAGCTGAACTAAGCATGAAATGAGTCTTAAGTGGTTTACCATACATTTTACCTTTCTCTATAAAATGGTAGGAATATCAAGCTGTATCATTTCTCAGCTACATCCTGCTACAGGAAAAGAAGCTAATAATGACATTATGCCTTCTTAAATTTAGCTTTTAAAAGAGGGATAATTTATATTAACAAGGCTGTCCTGGGGAAGCAGCTTCCTGAAGTGTGTCGGGTTATGCAGTTTCATTTGGTAGCTTCTAAAAGCCAGATAGCACATACATTCCACTGTAAAGGACCTCTTGTTTTATTCTACATTTTAAAGAGCCATCAGTACCATTTTCTAACTCCTTAGTGCCTAATGCACGGCAAACACAATACAGTCACGTGACTCCGGCCTTTGGCTGCGATGACCCCAGTACAACCATGGCAGAGGGGGCGCGAATTCCGGTTCCTGGGCTCTCATCTCTCACTCGGATGGAGAGTCTGGGGGAGCCACATGGTGCTGTTCTTCGGGGAGGGAGATGCCAAATGAATTACAGTACAGGTGGGTGACGTGGTCTTGGAGAGCCGGATGGGTCAGGAGGTTGTCGCTAAAGGGAGTGTCCCTGAGTTGCACAATAGTGAGATCAAACCAGGGGAGACAGCTGGGGTGGAAAAAAAATACTGTTAATTTTTGTCTGTTTGGTACATCTGATCTGGCTGTAAACATTTCCTTTCACGAATGGCTCCTCCACTCGTTAAATAAGGTTCTTCATTTTCTATATCAAACTAATTAAAATTCATAATTAAATCAAACATTCTCAGTATGTGGGTTCTGAAACTGCTCAATATGTGGGTTTAATTATACTTATGATGCTCTTTCACACTTATGTACATTTCTCTAAGTGTGTTTTGGGAGGAATTCATAATTAGAGAATGATTATAATGGTAACATGGGCATCCTTTTCAATATATTTTCCTTGATTTTAGGAAGAGAATACATAAGAGGATCATGGACACTAGGAATGGAAAATATCTCTTTTTTTTTTTCAAATACCCTCTTAAAAAAGGTATCTTCTTCAACTCTGTAGGGAAAGAATAGAAGTTAATATGCCTACGAATACCTTGCAGCTTACCAAATGCTAAAAAGCACACTTCAAACTGGTAGGAATGAATTGGCTCCTCTATAGCCTTAGGACAACCTAACACTCTAAAATGAATAAAAGATGTTAAAAATCCTAAATTTATTAAAGATTTAAATATTTTTAAAAATCAAATCAAATCCTGGGGATGTGCAGGGCAGAGGGGAATAAAGGCAGGAAAATGGGACAACTGTAATAGCTTAATCAATAAAATATAGTTAAAAATGAAAAAACTCCTAGGAGGATATAGAATATTTTGCAGTGAAAACAGTCTTTATAAGTTTGGCTTGAAACCCTGAATCCATAAAGAAGTGATTTGACCATTTTGCCTACAAAAATTAGAATCTTCTGAACAGTAAAATATACCCCCCAAAAATAATATGAAAAATATTTCCAATACTCAAAACATATTCCTACTGAAAACATCCCACAAAACAATAAGTAAAAGCAAACAATCCACATGGGAAATAGGCCAAGGACATAAATGACAATGAGAACACAAGAGCAGCCAGTTCGGAAGCTGGAAAGAACAGGGACAAACAGCATCACTAAGCCAAGGCACGGGCCGTTCATGTCACAGAACCTGCAAGACCCCGGACGTGGTGGGCCGAGTACACCTGGAAGTGGGGGCAAAATGGCCAAAAAGAGGGTGATGGCTTAAAATCTTAAAAAGGAGAATGACCCTCCCAGCACCCAACCCAACACTGCGCCGTTGGGAGACAGTCCCTCCTCCTCCCTGACAGGAGGTTTATTCTCTGGACAAGGTCAAACAGAGGCTCTCTGGACAGGGGACCACGGGCGCTGCCGAGGGCAGAGATATGCTGAAAAGAGGGAAAATAAATTGGAAACTCATAAGCTGAATGATAAGACCACCCCTCTCCCTACACACAGCTTCCTTTCCGCAAGTTGGGGCCCAAAGATTTAAAGATACCGATATTCAGGATTTCCCAAGGAAACAGCTGAGCAAAGCACTCCACAGTAAAGACTACAGCAGCAAACACAGAATGTGAGCAAGTAGCTTTTTAGTAACGAGGACTTTAAAAATGTGAGCTGTCAAGATTCTCCTTGCACTTAAAGAAACCCTCTAAAGTGAGTGATAGAAAAAATCCATGACTCAAATCAAGTGAATGCTAGAGATCAGAACACACGATCAGAGGACAACTCAGAAAAGAAAAACCTCTATCGAAGGGATGAGAGATGGTATTGCACAGTAAAATGACGAGAGGATGCTGCAGAAAAAAGGAAGATTTGGAGACTAAAAAAAAAATCTCTGGGCTCCGGCCATGTAGCTGAGTTGGTTAGAGCGTCATCTGGACACACCAAGGTTGCGGGTTTGACCCCCGGTCAGGACACACACACGAGTCAGCCAGGGAGTGCGTCAACAAGTGGAACGGCAGATAGATGTACGTGTCTCTCTCCCTCTCCCAGCAACCAACGAATTTGTAAATAAGTGGAACAGCAAATAGATATTTCTCTCTCCCCCCTCTAAATCAACAAATACTGTTTTTAATTTTTAAAAATCAAAATAAAGCAAAAATGAAAATGTGCTCAAAGTATGATAGCAAAACACTATAGTTGAGGAAATCTCTCAGGAAGTGGGGCAAAAAGGCAAAGATAATGAAAATAGGAAAGGTTTTAAAATATCAGACTAGTCCAGAATGCCCACCATTTGACTAATGAAATATTGATGGAGAGCAGAGGAAATGGGAGGGGATGAAACTATCGAAGACACGACTGGAGAACTTGCCGTCCAGAGTGAAAAGGACCATGGGATACTCTTTTCTTTTTGGGTGACAGTTGCTTGGGTACTTGCTTTACCGTAATTTATTAAACTGTGTATTTATGAATTTATGGAATATGTACTTTTCTGTGCATGTGTTATATTTGCCAATATCGTTTTAAGGGAAAAGAAGGAAAAGGCCCACCAAGTGCCAACACAGAGAATTGAAACAGACCCACACCATGAAATTCCAGGATACTGAAAGTAAAAGGCCCTATGAGCTGCCAGAGAAAAAAGAAACAGGTCCCAGACACAGGGCGGATTAAAAAATTAGAACGACACTGTGCCTCTCTCTCAGCAGTCACCCTAAAGACTGAAAGACAGTGGAGTGGTGCCTCCAAAATTCGGAAGGGAAACTATTTCTAACCTAGAATTCTATGCCTGGCTATGTTCTCAATAACATATTAGGTTAGAATGAAAACTTTTTTTCAGACATAGTCTCTGACAATCACTCCCCATACATCCTTCTCTAAGGAAGCTACGGGAGGAGGACCTGATCCACCACAGTGGAGTAGCGAGCCATGCCAGAGGAAGAGAGCTCCAGAAAGAGATCCCAAATGAGAGGGCAGTGAAGGGAATCCTGGGATAATGGGGAAGGGAAGTCTCCAAACTGAGCATATCACAGGCCATTGGTGACTGGTTAGAATGCAAAAGAGGGGAGAATCAAGGATTCTTCCAGGGCTCTGGCTTGAATAACGTGAAGAAGACTGTAACTGGATGAGAAGCACTGGAAGAGCGGGGATGAGAGCAGGTATGAGTTTGAGTGGAGAGGGTGAGTGTGGCCACACCTGGGCACGGAACTGATGTCCAGGCTGGAGGGACAGACTCAGTTGTGTCAGGGTGAGGATGGCAACCCAAGTCCCCGAAGTGGACAAGATCACCCAGGAACCAAGTGTAGAATGGGAAAGAAAGAAAGCCCAGGACAGAGCCTTGAAAACTCCCAAATGTAAGGATGGGGCAGAAGTGCAGCTGGCAAAGGGGGGGCTGGAGACACAGGAAGAAAAGGAGGAGAATGTGAGGATATCAGGAGAGCCAAAGGAAGAACGAGCATCAAGAAGCAGGCGGTGTTCAATAGTCCAGGGAGAAAAGGATTTGAAAGTGTCCTGTGAATTTCGTGATAAAAGAGCATTGTAACAAGGGCAGCAATTTTTCCTACTAGATTATCAAAGATTAAACATCTTGCCCTCTCATTAGATTACCAAAGATTAAACACGCACCCTGGCTGGTGTGGCTCAGTGAACTGAGTGGTGGCCTGTGAACCAAAGGGTTGCCAGTTCAATTCCCGGTCAGGACACATGCCTGGGTTGTGGGCCAGGTCCCCAGCGGGGGGCACGTGAGAGGCAACCACACATTGATGTTTCCTTCCCTCTTTCTCCTTTCCTTCCCCCTCTCTAAAAATAAATAAAAATCTTTAAAAAGAGGATTAAACATGCAATGGTACTCTCATACACTACTGGTGGAAATAAAAAAAAGCACCACGTTTTCAATAAGCACTTTGGAAATGCCCGTTAAACAAAAAATATATATATATATAATCTCTAACCCAGAATTATTATTCTAGCTATTCAACAGAAATAGCGGTCCAACTATGCAAAGTTAAGTACAAGAATGTTCAGTGCAGCCCTTCAGGTAAAATTTGGGATGGGTGGGGTGGGGGCCACTACATCACCCTCAAGAGGAAATAGGATGAATAAATTTAATTAAATGTATCAATGGATGCCTATGCAGTTGCTCATACATGAAATTGATATGAGTGTACTAACCAAGAATTGTCATGTAATAAGAAAAAATGCAGTGTATATAGTCCCCATGTTTCTAAAATGTATATGTAGATATAGATGTATACACTTTAATAACAGTATAAATATGTTTGTAAATGCATACATAAAAAGACAAATATAAAAACCATGAGAGGTAGTCTATGAAATGGTACTTGGGGAGCAAAGGAGAGCTTTCACTTTTCCAGAAGTTGGATTTTTTTACGAGAATGTATTCTCTCTATAAATTTGCAAAGATAACATGAAAGGAAAATGCAGCACAGCAACCTCCCAGACAGCAGTGTGGGGGAATGAGAATGGTCAGCCGTTAGACCTCACCTTTTCGGAGACAGGTTCTCAATATAGGTTTCGTTGAGAAAGTGCCCTAATTGAAGCTTTGGGCAAGGTGGTCCATCCTTCCTACATTTTTTGAAGCATGAAGCAGGAAACAGCTCATTCACAAGCTGCAGCGCTTGCCAGAGATGCGCGGCCTTTGCCGTACAGACGTTTAGAGCCGCATAGAACACCCCATCCAACCACTTGATATTGAGGATTACTCCGCCTGCACGTCAACGACAAGGGAAAGGCAGGTTAGCGCCGTCCAAAGGTTTGCAGGGAACCTGGGACAAGCCCAGGACAGTGAACAGTCACCTTTTCCCCAAGACAAGTTGGTCACAGGAACCTGAAGATACGCAAACACTCCCCCCACCCCACCCCATGACCTTTGATAACACATGGTGTGTTGACCCTGCCGTGGTAGGGCAGGTGTGACTAGTGTGGACACCGCTAATGGCAAAAGCATCTCTAGGAATTTCTAGAATGACCCTCGCCAATAGAAAAAGGACGAGGGAAAACTGCAAGATCAGCGCAGGGAAAAACCATTTAGTCCCAGACACCGCATCCTCCCATGTAAAGATTAAATAGGCTCTCCCGTCTGGTCGTTTCCAGTTCGTCCTTAAAGGGCCCGAATGTTCAAACTTCTCAGCTTTCCCTCATTAGGACTGCTTTGTGCCCCCAAAGCTGTCCCTGCGCAAAACCTACATAGCTGAAAGGGAACCTAGCTTGTACGCCCCCCACACTCACCCAGCACGCACACACAGGGACCCAATAAGATAGCAACAGGCCAAGAGGAGGGTGAGTTTTTACGGAGTGCCAGCACTAGGGTGGGCCATTACCGGCAGGATCGCTGGGGCAGGTAGCCTGAAGAATCACAGGATCTTGGAGAGCAGCTATGATTTCCTTATTGGCCCCCACGATGTGGGCAAAACCTTCCACACACTGGTACTGAGGCCGCAAGATGTTGGTGTGGTTCAGTAGGTTTTTCAACCTGGAAGTAGAGCCGCCAAGACATGGGGCACAGGGCCAGGACTGGAATAAGGCACACGACCCACTGAGTCCACCCCTAACAAATGACACCCCCACCCCCACGCATGCACAGCACAGGTGTGGGTCCGCACTGAGGGCACCACTTGTCAGTTGGACTGTTTAGCCACCTGCCTAGCCGACGCTTACTGAATGTTACCCTTTGCCAGGCACTGGCCTAGACCCTAGGGCTGCGGAAATAACATTTGACACGTGCTCTCAATCACTCTTCGTGCTGTTGACTGGTGGTTTCCCATCTCACGGATGCACAAGGGGACACAGGTCAGCTTCAAGGAGTGGGAGGCAAGGTTCTATTGCCATTCTAAACATTTGCACGTCAAAGAAAATGTCCCACTCACGGGTGTGGGTTGACACTAGAAAGGATGGCTGGGTCCTTCTGCAGGTGAAGCTGCTTCCACCTTACTTACCAGGGAAGGACCCCTCCAACAGGCAGGAGCTGGGTGGAGGTGAGAGGCAGAAGCCAGGGCTGAAGAGACAGAGCATGTCTGCCAGTTCTGCGCTCTCCCTAATGAGATACCTGGGTATCGGGACGGCAGATACGAAGCTGTATACAATGCAGGCTTTTCTGAAGCTGTTTTGTATTTCTGTGCAGATACTGGGCAGCTGCGATGGCAGGCAGCAGAGGAACACCAGGTTGGCCCAGCCCACCAGGTGAGAGTTATCGTAAAAGCACTGGACTTCCAGTTTCTGGAACTCATCTGGGAGGGACAAAGGAAGACAGAAAGATCACAGTACAGAGGAGCTGCACTGGAACGTCACCTGCAGGGAGGGGAAGACGATTATTTTATCTCTCTAACCACTCTTGTGGTCACATAAACGAGAAGAGATTCCCTCAGGCCATCTAAAGCCACGCAGCAGTGCCCTGTCCCCACTGCTACAGCAGCGGGTGCCGCTGTAGCTGTGCTTGAGGTTGTAAGACAATTTGTTCTTTTCTCAAAAGCTAGAGCTTTTCAGGGTTTTTTTTTTAGTTAGAAAAATATCTGAAAGAAGCCTTCTGCTCCAATTTATCATGTAACAGATAATATACAATGTACTTCATATACATTGTCTAAGGGAATCCTCATAAGGACCTTATTATTCCTGTATTATTGATGAGGAAACTGAGTCAAGAAATTCTGTGACTGGGCCAACATTACTCAGCTAACTGGGTTGAGTTGGCAGGAAAGACTAAGTAAGAGAGTGGGAGAGTCTAGGGCAGGGGCTGGGAATTTAGGAAAACACAGGGTGGGGTAAAAGCAGGTTTACAGTTGTCAGTACACGAAACACAGAGTCTATTCTTGTGTTATGACATACTAATCATCGTCTTATTTTCCCTACAAACAACTGTAAACCTACTTTTGCCCCCCCTTGTATACTTACAGCTTCTGTAAAGTATATACAATTTGATGTTAAGATATCTATAAAGATAGAAATGTGATAAAGCATGTAGTTACACAAAAATGCCTCTTGGTAGTTGATCTTCGGTTGTACTTATTGCAATATGTATTTTTAAAAGTGAAAATGTAAAGTCACATATGGTCTTAAATGTTATTGAAAAAGGGAGTATTAGACATGGGAAAGGTCACTTCTTAACTACCAAGAGTACATGATAAATTTGGTGCTTAAATCATCTGGGAACTCAGGTACTTACAGGTAATCAGTTTAGAAAACATGCACATCCATTCTTCTGTCATATGTGGTTCTCAAAAGTACACAGAAGCTGATGCTGAGCATTTTGAATTCTGGCTTCCTTACACAACATGCAGTGATGTTCTAAAATACTAACTTCATTATTAATAAATATATTGCTTCCCAAAGAATAGATGTACTTTATTGAAATATCACAAATACTAGTTATATTGATAATATTTTTCTTAATTTGCCTTGAGTAATAAAATTTTAAGATTTCCTTAATCTTATTAAGGAAAGAATATTTACAAATTAATATGAAAAATTCAGGCATGCCAACAGAAAAATTGGGCAAAAAGAACTCGAAGACAAAATAGCAATAAACCTATAAAAATATGCAATTATTATAGTGATCAGTGAAGGACATATTAAAATAAGAAACATAGATAATAAAGACCATATATGACAAACCAACTGCCACCATCAGACTCAACAGGCAAAAATTACAAGTGTTCGCCTTAAGATCGAGAAGAACAAGGATGTCCACTTTCACCTCTCGTATTCAACATAGTACTAGATGTCCTAGCCACAGCAATCAGACAAGAAGAAGAAATAAAATTGGAAAGGAAGAAGTAAAACTGTCTTTATATGTAGATGATGTGATACCATACATAGAGAATCCCAAAGATTCCACCAAGAAACTACTAGAACTCATAAATGGATTCAGCAAAGTAGTGGGATATAAAATTAATATCCAGAAACAGTTGCATTTTTATATACGAATAATGAACTAACAGAAAAGGAAATTAGGAAAACAATCTCATTTACAATGGCTTTGAAATACCTATGAATAAACCTAACCAAGGATGTAAAAGACCTGTACTTGGAAAATTATAAGACACTGAAGAAAGACATTAAAGAAGATACAAATAAGTGGAAGCACATACAGTGTTCACGGATGGGGATAACTAACATCATTAAAATGTCCATGCTACCCAAAGCAATCTACAGATTCAATGCAATTTCTACCAAGATTCCAATGATGTATTTCACAAAACTAAAACAACTATTTCAAAAATTGATACGGAACCACAAAAGGCCCCGCATAGCAACAGCAATCCTGAAAAAGAAGGACAAAGTTGAAGAATCACATTCCATAATATCAAACTATACCATAAGTCTATAGTAATCAAAACAGCATGCATAAAAGACACATAGATCAATGGAACAGAACAGACAGCCCAGAAATAAACCCACACCTTTATAGTCAATTAATATTTGACAGAGGAAGCAAGCACATACAATGGCCAAAGATAGTTTATTCAATAAATGGTGTTGAGAAAATTGGACAGATACGTGCAGAAAAATGAAACTACACCACCTTCTTATGCCACACACAAGAATAAATTCAAAATGTATTAAAGACTTAAACAGTAGACCCAAAACCATAAAAGAAAGAAAAACCATTAGAAGAAAACATAACAAAATTTCAAACATAGGTCACAGCAATATTTTATTAGCTATATCTCCCCAGGCAAGGGAAACAAAAGGAAAAATAAACAAATGGGACTTGCATCAAACTAAAAAGTTTTGCACAACAAAGGAAAACATCAACAAAATAAAAAGACAACCCACAGAATGGAAGAACATATTTGCTAAAACATCTGATAAGGGGCTAATATCCAAAATTTATAAAGAACTCACAAAACTCAACACCAAAAAACCCAAAGAACCCAATTTTAACAAGGGGCAAAGGAGCTGAATAGACACTTCTGCAAAGAGGACATACAGATGGCCAATAGACATATGAAAAGATGCTCCACATCACTGGTCATCGGAGAAATGCAAATGGAAACCACAATGAGATATCATCACACACCTGTCAGAATGGCTATCATCAATAAATCAACAAACAACAAGTGCTGGCGAGGATGTGGAGAAAGGAGGACTCTTGCACTGTTGGTGGGAATGCAGACTGGTGCAGCCACTGTGGAAAGCAGTATGGAGATACCTCAAAAAATTAAAAATGGATCTGCCTTTTGACCCAGCAATCTGACTCCTGGGAATATAGCCAAAGGAGCCCAAAACACCAATTTGAGAGAACATTAAGCACCCCTATGTTCATTGCAGCATTATTTACAATTGCCAAGATATGGAAGAAGCCCAAGTGTCCATCAGTCGATGAGTGGATAAAACACCTATTGGACATTTACACAATGGAATACTACTCAGCCACAAAAAAGAAGAAAATTTTACCCTTTGCAACAGTGTGGATGGACCTGGAGAACATTATGCTAAGTGAAATAAGCCAGTCAGAGAAAGACACATACCATATGATTTCACTAATATGTGGAATCTAACGAACAAACTGAACTAACAAGGAAAGCAGAGACAGACTCACAGGTGGAGAGCAGGATGACAGCTAAGGTGGGGGGATGAGTGGGTGAAGGGGTTGAGCAAAAAGGAAAAAGGACTCATGGACAGGAACAACAGTGTGGTGATTACAGGGGTGAGGGAGGTATGAGGGGACTCGATGGTAATGGAAAAAATACAATAAAAAACTAAATATTTTTTAAAAGAAAAGATAAAATAAACATTTAAAAGGCATATTAAAATAGTGATTTAAAAAAACAGAGGCTCAGAATTGATGAGTGTCGTGAAATGGGTGTTCTTACATAATGCTGGTGAAAGTTCACACTTCAACAACCTTTTTTAAAAGTCAGTTTGAAAAAAATGTATTATAAGTTTCTTTAAAAAGTAAAATTTAAAAATTAAGTATACCTACCATATGACTTATCTATTCCACTCCCATGTTTACCCAAGAAAAATTAAAGCATTTGTCTGCACTAATATCTGTACACAAATGTTCACAGCAGCCCCATTTGTAAGCGCCCACAACTGGACACACCTGGATGTCCATCAACAGATGAATAGATAAACTGGGGTATTTATGCAATCAAATACTACTCCACAATAAAAAGGATGTCGATACATGAAACAACATGTATCTCAAAATATATCGGAATAATTATGCAAAGTGAGAGAAGTCAGACCAAACAACAGTACAAACTATATGATTGCATTTGTATAAAATTCTAGAAAATGCAAACTAATCCATGATGATAGAAATCAGATCAGTGCTTTCTTGGGTCGGGGGCTACAAGGAGGTAGAGAGATAGGAGTTATAAGGAAACTTTTGGGGGTGATGGATAAGTTCATTACCTTGTGTTGATGGTTTCACAGGAATATACATGTGTCAAAACATCAAATTGTACATTTAAAAAATGTGCAGTTTATTGTATACCAATTATATCTTAATAAAGCTGTGCCTGTTTTTTGACCAACTAATTTTATTTTTAAAATGATATACAAGGAAATCCAATATGGCACAGTTACACAAATTATCATACAGCCACACTTTGTAATACTATGCAACCTTAAAATCATGATTTTGAAGAATGTTAAATAATGTGAGAATATGCTCAAAATACATTAAGTGAAAAAGGAGAATATAAACAACTGTGTATAGTATCAATTATTGATATAATCTGATATACTCAGAGGAAAAAACAGTTAGGAAATGATGTACCTGGTAAGAGGATTATGGGTAGTTATTATTTACTCTCCTATAGAATAACTTTCTAAATTTTCTGTAACATGCACATACTATTTTACATTTATAAAAATTATTTAAGCATGAATCACATCCAGTGCAACACGCAGATCTACAGTATACAGTCTGATCATTTCTGGCAAACGCACACACCGTGTAATTCACACTTCTTTCAAGAGCTGGAACATTTCTACCTCCCCCCAAAGTTCCCTCAACCTCCCTGGAGGCAACCGTTCTGGTTAGTAGATGGAATCATTAGAAATCTTTTAAAAATTCAGGAAGTGTTATTTTTTATTTATTTATTTTTAGAGAGGGAAGGGAGGGAGAAAGAGAGAGAGAGAGAAACATCAATGTGCGGTTGCTGGGGGCCGTGGCCTGCAACCCAGGCATGTACTCTGACTGGGAATCGAACCTGCGATACTTTGGTTTGCAGCCTGCACTCAATCCACTGAGCTACGCCAGCCAGGGCAGGAAGTGTTATTTTAAAAAACACAGGGCCAACAGTTTGGAACTTCTTAACACCTACCAGGCTAACTGGTCCAGTCAGATGTGAACTCTGTTTGGAAAGTTTCTCTGTATCAAAGACCCAGAAAGATATCTCACCACCAAAGGTACAAGGAAAAAAAAAATAGCTATGAAACATTTAAGTGAAGAAAGCTGTAAGGAACAAGTTAAAAACCATCTTTCCAGCTCTCCCCATGGCTAGACAGCTGAGAACTCAGCAACGCTGCATGCAAAGATCCCCCATTCACAGTGGCCTCGTTGCCCAAGCCCCCCTTCTACGGGACACTGCTCCTCACCCAGGGCCTCTGGCCTCCGAGTGGAGATCCGCAGTCTCTCAGCAGGGATGGGGACAAGCTGAAGCAGTACACGAGCCAGCTGCTTCCCAAGGTGGCCACCTCCAATGATGCCCACCTTTAACTCATCATCGTCTTCAGGAGCGTTGGCAAGTGATTCAGTCGAGGAACACCTGGAAGTTTTCTTCTCCTGTAATAGTTTGCTGGAGAATGAACACAAACATAAATACATGCTCGCCCTGGAGTTCTTTCTCACTGTCAGCCTCTGACCTTCTCTGCTTTAACTTCCCCACATGGCAGGCTGGTGGCACCTTGAGTTGTTCAGAGATAAGGCATTCCAATTATGTGGCACTTTGGAGCGTTACTAGGGAATGAAATGCTCTTCCTGAGTGAATTTTCCAGAATGTAAAGCATACCCCTTCCAAGGACCAAAACTGGTTTAGAACATTTTTAAATGATGGTTTTTTGTTACCTGTGCTGTGCATGTCCCTGCCTTCTGAAACACAAGGTGTGCGTGTTAAACCTTTATTTTGGACTCAGGGCCATCATTGCGAACAGCGGCTGCTGTTACGCGTCATCCTGGAGCACCGCGGTCCTGCTCCTCATCTCCTGTGCAGACAGCTGTCAATGTTCCTGGCCATCAGGATGAGCGCACCTGCCTCCTACCACACACCTGTGCTTTCTAGTCTGCTGTACCAGTCCTGCACAGATCCAGGAAACAGGAAACGTAGCTTTTTTTTTAAGCTAAGGAAAATGGTTTATAATAAGGGAAAACAGACCTAAGAAATTGAGGGTCAGGGATTTGAGCCCTCTCTTTTAAAAGATTTTATTTATGTATTCTTAGGGAGGGGAAAAGAGGGAGAAAGAGGAGAGAAACATCAATGTTGTGGTTACCTCTTGTGCACTGCCTATTGGGGACCTGGCCTGCAACCCAAGCATGTGCCCTGACTGGGAATCAAACCAGCAACCCTTTGGTTTGCAGGCCGGCACTCAATCCACTGAGCCACACCAGCCAAGGTGAGCCCTGTCTTTCTAGAGGTTCACTTACTGTTGGTTCTGTATGTATTTTCTGGCCCAAGATAAACAACTCTGACCTCAGCATACATAAGGCATTGCTTTATGTTGTTATATGGCAACCTTGTATTTCGTATTTTAGTGCAAATTGGAGTATTTTTTAAATTAAAGCTCAAAAAAAAATAAAACAAATGAAAAAGTAAAGCTCTAGAGTTTCCATATAAGCAGTCACAAGCCACATTCTATTTAAAACTTCTCTCTTGGTTGAAAGGAGAATGCTTTCTGCCAGTGCCTGACCCTTCCAAATACAACATCCCTCCTGGAAGTTTCATGTACCAGTTTCTCACCACTCGTCTTGGATTCAACCAATAGATTTGTGCATTTTATCAGTCAGCCAATCAGCAAACTCACTGAGCAACCTGCCTCCTTGGGTACCTGCTGTATCTATAACATGTTCAGTTCAGATCTGGTTCCCTCAACAAGAAATTAATCTAATCTCAGAGACAAGTAAACTGAGAAGGAGGCTGGGGCAGGGGATGGTCAGATCCTCCAAGAGTGACTTAGAGTTACAGAATCCAGGAGCTTAGTCCTAGGTACCTGGCTCTCACATGACTTCTCATTTAAGTGTCTGAAGCCACATTGACTGGACTCAGAGCTTCTCCACAAATCAGTATTCCTGGTTTCAAGCAAGTCATCTGGCCATAGGGACCCCAAGTCATAGGTGGCTCTCCTGTGAGGGAGCACTCCACTGTTAGCACCCTAAAAAGGAACTCAGTTCATTTTCATGGACTGACATACCATTGGTCGCTGTGGAAGACACAAGTGAATGAATGAATGAGTGATGAATGAACTGACTGCTTACTGAAAGGAAATCACTACTAACCCATGCTTTATTTTGGAACCACAGCCAAGGAACTCTAGTACACATTTCTCCGGTGTTTTCAGACCAAGAGTAATAGGCAGGGGGTTGGAAAATGTAGGAAGACACTTACCAAAGTTATTCTCCAATATAAAAAGTTAAGGCCATTTGTATTCCTTGTAGTGAGATTCTTATTCATCTGCCTGACCCTGGAGACGCTGCTTACCTCAAATTATGGAGCAGCTTACAGAAGAAGGTCGCATGGGCACAGCCCTTGATCATCAGCCCGTGGCAACGATGCTGCAAGTACAGCCAGCTGCGGTTTTCCTCTTCAATCCCGCGCTCAAACTGAAGGGACTCAAGGTCCTCTAGTATGTCCATTTCCAAGCCACCATCCCCTGCAGTGACAGAGAGCAATCGGTTTGGCTCCTCGTCCTGGAAGAGGAGGGGTCTATGCAGGAGGATGTGTGTGCCCACGTCACAAGCTCCTATGGTGAAGGGCTTCAAACCCCATCTCCTCCTAGTTCTGCCCTTCCAGCACCTCATCTTCTGTCTCAGTGTGAGTCCTGGAGAATTCCTCAACACTGACTGACTACCCACGAATCGAGAATACCTGGGTTCAAGAAAAGCCTGAACAGAAATCCAAAGTAATGTTCCTCCCCGGGCACTTCTTGCAGCAGATGCATTTATGTCAGCAGTGGGTTTCATGGGTGCTCTTGGTCTAGAACTTTCTCCCTCCCATTTCCTCCTGTTTTACAGATAGGCCTCGCTCTGACTGGCATGGCTCAGTTGGTTAGGCATCGTCCTACGAACTGAAAGGTCACTGGTTCGATTCTAGTCAGGGCACATGCCTGAGTTGCTGGCCAGATAACGGGCGTGTGAGAGGCAACCAATCCATGTCTCTCTCACACACTGATGTTTCTCTCCCTCCCTCCCTCCCTCCCTTTTCCTCTCTCTAAAAATAAATAAAATCTGTACTTGAACAACAACAAATTAAAAAAAAATAAACAAATCTTTTAAAACTACATTTTAAAAAAAGAAGTAAGGCTGAACACTTGGACGGCATTTCAAAGAAATTCTTCCCTTTCACTAAACTCTATGTGCCCCTGCAGAGTAGAAAAGACCCCAAACTAAATATCACGGCCCTTTGCCTACAGTGGGGACATCTACACTTTAGAAAATGAAGCCAAAGAAGTATAAGCCCATTTATATACATCTCTCACCAACCCAGCTGAGGAGAAAATGGCTCTACTCCTCCTTACTTCTGGTCCTCAGGATAAGAACTACATTTCCAGAAAGAACCACCCAAGAAAATTGTCATTATGACTCCTTAGCTACCAAATTACTTGCCTCGGAGTCTTAAAGGGGCCAGCCTTGCCTAGACGTTTTCCCCACCTGCAATGTGAGACCACGAATTCCCTTCATTATTCGTGGGAGTGCTACGCCAGGGCAGTGCGGGATCCTCCCTTTCCCTACAGAAGGATCTGGACTTCCAGATTTTTTTTGTAGAGTGGGATATCATACAGATCTCAGCACTACTCAAGGAGTTATTTTTCAAACCCCTTCTTTTTGTGTTCAAGAAGTGAACAAGCAAGATAAGTTCTGGGCACCTACTGTACACCACGGTGACTACAGTTAATGACATTATATTGTATACTTGGAATTCGCTGAGAGCAGATCTTCTGTTCTCCCCACAGAAAGAAGAAAGGTAACTAGGACATGCCGCATATATTCAGTAGCTTGGCTGTGGTAATCACTTCAAATGTATATCAAATTACCATGTTGTACACCTAAATATATATAATTTTTATTGGACAGTTATACCTCAATAAAGCTGGGGAAAAATCAGTGACATTCAAAACTCTAGTCTACTTTGTAACAGTGGTGAAAATGAGATCAAAGTTCAAAACTACGCATTTCTGATTTGCATTTAAATTAAAAACATGTCTATTGAGGCGAAATTCACATAACCTAGTCAATTAAAAGTAAACAATTCAGCATATTCACAATGCCGTGCATCCTCTACCTCTCTCTAGTTTCTAAACATTTTCCATGCCCCTCACAAAGGAAACCCCGTCCTGCTGAGTGAATGCCCCCACCCCTCCATCCATCCCTGGCAACCACTAATCTGCTTTTTTGTCTCTATGGTTTACCTTTTCCGGGTACTCCACATGAATGAAGTCATACAATGTGTGACCTTTGGTGCATGGTTTCTCTAACACCTTTTATAGGAGGGCTGTCATGTCACTCTCTTGATCTTTTTAAAAGCCAAGTCCCCAGCAGTTGAAACGAAGAGTGTTGAAGTTGTCATCAAGTCTAAGAAATATTTCCTTAGACCAAAACAGGAGGTAGGCCATCCTACTGTTTTGAGTGATGTTTCTAGCTCCTAAGGAAGGAGGAGCTCAGAGCCTCCCAGCTCAGCATGGCCAGCACAGCCCGGGACAACTTGTACAAGCATTTTCAAAAATGGGGATCCAGTGGTCGTGGCTTTGTAACGTGTCAAGTGGGCTGGCTGACCTACATTTTCCAGAATTCCCTTCTCTGTATGTTTCCGGTTAGGTGTGCCACAGGAGAGATTTCTGTCAAGATCTGGAGGGTGGAAGTGCGGCCAACGACCAGTTTGTGTTTATGCTCGCAAGGGACAGGCGGGCACTTTTGTGTCTGTTGGTGGCCTTGTCGCTTGTGGGGCAGCAGTTGGACCTGCCACTGCTGTACCTTCTCCTGGATCCCCCTGCAGCTTCTCACAGTCCCCGGCCAGATCTGTTTTCAGCTCCATGACCAAGGCCACCAGCTAGCTTCTCCTGCAGGACACTCACTTCATCAAGGTTGGGAGCAGTGAGAAGTGACTCGGGTTCCAGTCCCTGGGCTCCAGCTTGTCCCTGCCCTCCCCTTACTTTATTCCCATCTTCCCTTCCCCGCTGCCTGCCACCTGGATTTGCAGCCCCACCACCAGCCATGCAGATGACCTTCCAAAGACTGTTTGACTGCCCTACTTGAGCAAGGCCAAATGTCTGTAATGTCTCACATACAGATTGGACAGAGAGACACAGACTGTACTCCCAGTGTTCTGCTTCTCTAAATGAACTCTAGTTGATATACTAGTTAAGAAAGCTATGGCTGTTTGTGTGAAGATCAGCCAGTAACTCGAACACAATTCAGCAAATTAAACTCGTTTCTACAACAGCAGGAGTGATTGGGAAAGGAACCAAACATGAGGTTACCTGAAATTGCAGAGGAACTGCCAAGTGGAGAACTAAAAGTCCAAGTCCAGTCCCCTTAAAGGATTTCTCAGCGTCAGCATCACTAACATTTTGGGCTGGAAAATTTTTGCTGTGGAGTCTGTCCTGTGCATTGTCGGGTGTTTGGCAGCATCCCTTGCCTCTCTCCACTAGTAGCACCACCCAGTTGTGGAACAGAGTGTCTCCAGACATTCACACAAGTCTGCTGGGGAGCAACACGGCACCCAGTTGAGAACCACGTCGCCTTACACACTGGGTGCCTCTGCACACCACCTCCTCCTCCTACCACCTGATCCACTCCATGATCACAGGAGCACAGAATTCTACGAGCTCTGAGAGAACCGTGCCCTCCTATCCACATTAAGACAGAGTCCAGAGAACGAGACCCTCCCACCATCACCCAGCTTGTCAGTGCTGGAGCTGAGACAAGAGGCCGGGTCTTCTGTCTCCCAGCTCTGGGCTCTTTCTATGAACCACACGGCCCTGCTTCCTCTTAGCACCATTGCCCCATAACCTAACGTGTGTTGACAGGCTGCTGAATGTAGTCACCGACACAGATTTGTAGTGGTCCCAAAAGACCAGGCAATTATTTATTTGTTTTGCAGAAAACAACCGGAGGGAAAAAGAAGGCACCAAGGAAGAAACAACTTTATTGGGAGTCTCGGCATGTCTAGGGAAACCCAGTTCAGTCACAGAGGAGAGGCTAATGTTGGTACAGGGCAGGAATCTTGCATTATAGAACATCTTCTTAAAAACCAAGTGTGAAACTAAAGCCTCCATCTTAAAATCCTAACCGTCGGCAATGCTGCTGAGTTTAGCCCTGGTGAAACTTCTGTAATCTCCTAGTGAAATAATGAGATCTGTGCATAAATGGAGAGCTCCAGTACTGCTGAATCTAAGCTTCTGCAAGTTCACGGTCTGGGGTGGGAGAAGTAGAGGAGAAGACAATGGGGCTGTTCGCTTCACCCACACAAGGCCATCAGCCTGCAGTTTTTGACAGAGGCTAGACTGGGGCAGCAGGGGGACACTGGACTGAGAAATAACACCCAGGCCATCTGTCATTGTGGAAGGCTCCGTACAGTCGTACAGTCTGGTGTGGGGGCGCCTCCAGCAGGTCCTGGCAACACTGGCACCCCTTCCTGAGGCCCCCAGGAGAAAGCCATTTTGGTTCTGTTCTGACATCACTCACAGCAGAACTGCCAATGTCCAGCATCAAGTCCGGGCCATAATCAGCTGAGAGGAACTGAGTGGTCAGCCTATGACACCTGCATCTCTTGGTCTAGACTTCTCTGGCAGAGCAGTCACTTTTCTCAGACCGAGAGGGATCTTGCCCACCGCGGGCCCAGTCTAGAAGTGACTCCCACCTTCACATGAGCACCAGGTGGAGAGAATCTTTCTCATGAGTCGAAGCTTTAGATCTTGGCTCTGAGATGATAGACCCTGGACAGAGATCAGTCGGAGGCTCTCTGTGCCCAGGTGCTGGTTTCCGTCCCAAGAGTAGCAGGTGCGGCCTGTTGATGAAGGGCCCAAGCAACGTGATGCTTTAACTCTCCTAAAGAAAAGTGCGCTCTACTCTCACGGGCAGAAAAGGAAGACACGATGCAGGTTTCAGGGTAGCTGATGCCACTTAATTCTTCCATCGAATTTGCTGTGGCAAGAAGAAACAATGATCATTTTGCACTGATTCCAACAGAGAGGTAGTGGGAATGCAATAAAGTAAGACTCACAGCTACATAGTACATGGAAAAGAGAAGAATGGAAGGGGGAGGAATTTTGAAAAATGTTGTATGTGGCAGAGTTCATTTATTCAGATACAAATTAGATACCAAATCTGTGTCTTACAAGCCTGAGTTTGGGCATTTATTCTGGTCCTGCCCTCCTCAGGATCAAGAGTCACTAGCTTGCAATGACCCCAGGTGGGTCCCAAAGTATCTAACCGGGAACTAAGGTTAACATTAACAGAGAGGTCAGCAATTTCGTGCTATGGGAAACAGGTAGGCTGTGTTCCCCAAAGAGCTCAAATCCAATGTACCCTCTTCTTACTTCCAACAGGCGGGCTACCTTCATTCTCAGGATATTGTGAATCTGTAACATTCATTTCTATCCTGCCAGAAGTTAGTGCCTCCTATCTGTTAGACTTAA